TGGACACAGTACTCCAGCTGCGGCCTCACCAAGGCCAAGTACAATGGGACAGTGATGTCCTGGGATTTGCTTGAGAAGCATCTATGGATGCAAGACAGCATTTTGCTCGCTTTACTAGCTGCAGCATCACATTGATGGCTCAGGTCCGTTGCTGGACTCTACTACTCCAGCCAAACACAAGTATAACACACCTCCTTCACAAACCTCATATTTGTGAAGCAGGGGGAGCCGGGCTGACTGAGTAATCTGGGCAAGCCAATCAGGGCTACCCTGTGTTCTGCTGCCATTTTGTCTCCAGGCAGACTGAGGGAGTCTACAGAGCATGCTGAGATATGTGCATAGGGACCCCTTGGCTACACAGCATCAGCATTGCAAGCTGTCTGCTCTCCTGGGGCTCAGCATTCAAATGTCTGTTCAGATGTCTCTGAGTAAGTTTTTCTACCAAGAGGTAGTTTTTCTACCTAGATGAATTCTACCAGATTATTTGAACATGCGTATACAGCTTTGTTTTAGTCAGATTGGTCCTAAACAATAACAGTTCTGCAGAATGTGGTCCTACAGGGGTATGTTTTATAATGAGCCGTAGTTTTATACCAAAGGCTACCACAATGATGGAGATCATATTTGGCAATTTCAGTACAAAAGCTCTGGTTCAAAGTCCACTGAAATCAGTAAGAATCTTTTCTTTATTGCCACCAGACTTTGGATCAGATCCAAATAGCTCAAGCCCTTGCCACGTAACCTAAAGAAGTTATTCATTTAGGTAAGCAACAGGCCACAGGCTACTAACGTAGCTACTTACTTACAAGAAAGAGGGAAGGATAATACAGCCAGTGTATTAGAAAACTGTCACTACATGTGATGTACACATTATCCAAAGTAGTAGTTTTACCTAACTGCTAGTCTTTTTAGCTAAAGCTTGTAAGCTTCGCTCTCTTGGTTCATTACATCACTTGGTTCACATCAAAACATTCATGAAATTACAATTCAGGCAACACATTTCATTCTCTGGTTCCTTTTAGCCTGGGCCAAAAAGTTCACGGACTGAAAATTCATACATGGAGGTGCTGTTTGTCTCCTCCTACTGCATTTTACCCAAGACAAAATAGTCACTTTTACATATTCTATCTCATAATTGAGTTGAGTTGTGCTGGAAGCAAGCATCTATAACCAGTTTATGGTGGAATCTGGTCATGCCATCTAATATGAGACAAAATTGTTGTAAACCTAGGAAAACCAAGGCTAGAAAGCTAACAGAACTGCTATTGGAAAATGGTTTAAAAGAAATACGGTACATCAGTATCCTGTCTGGAATGGTAACTAAGGAATCCCGACTAACATTTTTACCCCCACACTTCCAGGATTTTTTTCCCTGGGTAAAATACAAATCTAAGAAATAATTTCTCACAAAAGACAAATTCACATTCAAAACTGTTTTTCTCCCTCACTTAAAAGAAGTCATTCTTTATTTGGTTTTTCATTGAATTTGATACAAAGTATAAGCGTGACCCCAGCATCTGTATAGCAACAATGCTTTAGGCTAGCTGAAACCCACAAAACATTTGCAATTACATTTTTATTGCAAAAGTATTTCTTTAAATACAGGATTTTTAGTTATCTTTTAACTAATTACTTTAACAGAATCAAAACTTGTTACCCTCAAAAGGCTACATAAAGCTGTCCATGTGTAAACACAGGCTTAGGAATATAAATACATATTTTGTCAAATGTCTGACTTTGTGACTTATTTCTAGTCATAAAATAAGAGGGTCCTTGTACACGTGAGAAAATTGCCCCTTTTACGGGTTTAATTGCCCTTTTTAACAATTTAATTGTGTAACAGTGTACACATTCAGCAACATGTTACAATTAAATTTCATAACAGTGTATATATATTCAGTGGTGTATTTTGATCTAAATGACTTTTTCATGTAGCGAACTAAAACACATCCCATGTATTTTAGCTTGCTACATAACAAAATACAGTGATATTCCTCACATGTACAAGGGCCCTATCCGGAGAAGGCAGTGGTGCATGGGGGACTGGAAGCCTGGGTGTGCCTAGGGCAATCTCAGGCTTGGTGGGCTTCCAGTGCCCTGTGCATTGTTCCCGCTTCCTTCTCCGGCTGCCAACACATCCAGACACCCTCCTGTCTTCCTGGGCCATCCAGCCCATCCCCAGGTGGTCCCAGGTGGTGGGAAGATAGCAGGGATGGTAAACAGGGCTCTGGAAGCACGTCCAGGCTTCAAGCATCCCATACAACATTGGATCTGGCAGCTGATGCCTGTGAGCTGGAGTTGCACATGCACACCTAGCACCCCACCTGGGCAGCCCCGGGGAGGCACCACCACTGCAGAAGGAAGCTTTAGGGGCCCCCACAGCTCAGGGGCTGCAAGTGAGCAGGCTCTGCCAAGGAAAAAAAAAAAGTGGCAAAGGGCCTGATTTGTTTTTTTCCCCCAGAACCAGCCTGCAGCTGGGTAGAGAGCTTGCCTACAGGTCGCGCAGCCCTTGAGCTGTGGGGGATCTTGGTGCTTCCCTCCATGGTGGCAGTACCCCCCGGGCAGCACCCACCAGATGGCACCCCTCCCAGGCAGTCCCAAGGGATGCCACCACCACAGAGGGAAGCACCGGGGCCCTCCACAGCTCAGGGCCCACTAGCAGCTCAACCGCAGGCATGGCAAAGGTGGGCAGGTCGGGGGGAAGGATTGGGCCCCTCACTGCTTTTTTTTTTTTTTTTTCCTTTGGTGGAGCCTGCCTAAGGGGGCCCTGGTGCTTCATTCTAGCTCTGACGTGCCTGCATATCTGTTTGAAATGTCTCAGGATCTATAATAATAACATGCATATTCTGTCTGTCTGGAGCACTCTGATTGGTTGTTTCAGTAAGCATTGTGATTGTATAATTGTGATTGTGCAATTGTTTCAGTAAGCATTGTGATTCAGTATGCATCAGCTCCCAAGACAACCAATCAGAGTACTCCAGACAGACAGAATAAGCCTATTATTATTATAGATGCTTCAAATGTATAATTGGTTATCAGGTAGACAAGGTTATTCGGGTAAATCCGATATCTTTCATTAAACCAACTAAAACAGTTGGAGAAATTCTTCTTTGCAAGCTTTCGGGGACAAATACCCTTCTTCAGGCTGAGGAAGCATCTCTATTTGGTTATCATTAATACTTTAAATTATACAAACCTTCAGTGTAATTTTATCATATTTCTACCAGTAAACTTTTTTTTTCCCCATAAGTAAACATGACACCAGACTTTCAGCTGTTGAAGTCAGTATAGCAACACTGATTTTATTGAATCTGCTTCACGGTCATTAGTTAACACATATCCCGGTGTTGTGCTGTCATGGAAGAAACAGAACTCTGATCAATTGTGCCAAAGAGCATCTATTATAGATAAAGTATCTCCAATATAAACTAAAACTGTTAAAAAAATGAATTGTATTGGTATAAATGGGGCAGTGGGGATAAGCCTGCTTCTAGAAAGCATTGGATGTATATTTGGACAACAAGAACATCCTGAGCCATAACGGAGGATGAAAAAAAAAACCCCTCAAAACCACAATTTTAGGAAGAATTGTAATCCTGCTTCAGGATATAAGCCAACCTCTAAGTCAGAATTTTTCCTTGGGTGTAGTTAGCCATAATGATATGTCTACCAGTGGCTTCACTGGTGCATGTCCACATTTGGTCATACAAGTGCAAGTGAGAGTGAGTATGTGGAATATCTTCAGGAGCATCCCTGCTGGGACATACTTAGGACACAATATGAAATCTTACTGAATCTGCCCATTAAAAACACATTGACATTCCTAGACTTTGGATCAGGCCCTTAATTCTCACCATTTGCCAAGCCAAGGATGCTAGACTGTGCGGACTGTTGCCTCTCGGTTGGCTAATAGGACTGCACAAAGCTTCAGTCCCTGATTCGATTTGGCAGAGATTCAGCCCAATTCAGTGGCCAAATCTCCGAATCCAAATTGAATCAGAGGACCCTTTAATCTTCCTGAATCAATTTGGAGAAATTCAGACAGGTTTGGCAATTCAGACATAGATACAGCTTTAAATGTTTTTTTTCTGCATATCTCTAGGTAGCAGGGGCTCTGAACGCTGCGGTGCTGGGGCAGATGCAGCGTCCCACAGAAGCACGGGGGGGCTCTCCAGCATGGTCAGCAGCAGACCTGGAAGTGGACCAGAAGCACTTCCAGTCCACTTCCTGGTCCACCGGGGGGCCCACAAGGGGGCCGTCAAGCCCCCCTGGCTCAGCAACTGGTGCCTCTTGGGTCTGGGTGGGGGCACCCAGGATCCCCCTGCAGCCGATCACTGAGCCAAGAGGGCACAGTGGGGGGGGGGCCAGCCCCAGCCCCAGTCCCAGTCCCAGACCCAGACCCAGACATGGACCATAAGTATTTCTGGTCCACTTCTATATTCGCTGCCAAGCATGCTGGGGAGCCTCCCGTGCTCCTGTGGGATACTCCATGCGCCCCAGCACTGTAGCGACCACGAGCCACATCTGCTACCTCAAGGTATGTAGAAAAAAACTTTTAAAGCTGTGCCTGTGTCTGAATCACTGATTTGCTGAATCAGCTTCAAATCTTCAGATTCTGCCAAATCGAATCAGGGACAGTGATCTGAGTCAATGAATCGAATCACTATCCCTGATTCAGGCTGAATCTGAATCCAAATCGAATAGGGCTTGTTTCACACAGCCCTATTGGCTAATTAGTGCTAAACAGATGCTTCGTGAGGACATGCTGGGCAAACCTAGGAGAGGTGCACGCCTGGTACTATGCATGTCCCAGCAGTAAGAAATATATCACAATACCATGAAGTCTCATAGAAATGTGGTAAAAATCTGAGCAACTATTACAAAAATGGAAACCAATTAAACTTGCCTCTCCCCAGGGAAAAAGTGTGAAGAAATCTTGGTTGACCTAAATTTTGTCAATTAATGATTTTATATGCCCTTTTTCTCTTCTTTTGTTCCAGAAAAAGTAAGCATATTGTCAACCTTCATCACACCCTTCAAGTATTTAAGTCCTGGTGCAAGCAATATGGAAGACGAAGACAACTTAAGTAAGCAGCCTCTTTTCTTCACAATTAGTAACCTGTGCACTGAGGGTAATTCTAGGAGCAAGGTAATTTGGGAACCACCTCTCTCCACTTAATCTTTTAGGTCACTGCACCATAGGTGACACATACAGGGGGCACAGGGGTGGGGGGACACATGCCCCCACTGACAGGGCCACTGCCGCCACCACCAGCAGCACCTCTGCGGGTGCTCACCAGCTCTGCCCCCATTGCTGGCACTGCCAGTGGCGCCCGCGGGAGCTTGCCAGTTCCAGCTCCGCCGCCAACACCAGGATGCACCAGTAGGGGGACTCGGGAGGCACCAGTCACCCATGCACTGCACAATTGTTAGTGCACAGAACTGCAGAAAGTACAACACATTCACATTTCCAGTGAGCAAGGGGTTAACCTAAATTTAACAGGCACTTGGAGAGTGCCTGTAAACTGGGTGCTGTGAAGACCAGGGAAATCATTCCCATAAGAAGGCAGTGCTCAATACTAGGCTCAGGAGACAGAAAAGTTTCTTTGTCTTCTTTTGTGCTTTAGTTAACTTATTTTGCTTCCTTTCTATATGCTTGATCCTCAAAGGATAAACCAGGTTGACTGCCTTTTTTCTGCCCTCCACCCCATTTTACATTCCTGTCATTTCCCAATGGGAGGGTTGCTGGGGTGAGGATGGACTGCTGTTTGAAGCACTGTCCTCTCCTTTTCTCTTGGCTAATACTGTCTGCAGAAGAAAACAATCCACATCCAATTGAACAGAGATGTAGTTAAGATGTTGGTAACAGGATTCTTAAATGGTAATTCTGACATGGACCATACCGATGATTGTTTAGCTGGACAAATGTCAGGAGCTGCTATGTTTGAAGGAAAAATGAGGTCATTAAAATGTCAGTAAGGCCAGGCAAAATAGCATGTGGTTAGAATGGAATAGCCTTCACCCATGCTTTGCATTTGACATCAAACAGCGATTACCACATGGCATCCAGCTTTCTGGTTGTGACTTATTTTGAGGTATTTTAGACAGAGAGGAAAGCTTTCCAAACCAAATGAACACCTCTTGCGTTTTAGTATCACCTACCAGATGTGTTCCTTTCCCAGCCAGAAACAATGGAAACTTCCTCTCTTATAACCAGTAGGTGGAGAAAATGGATCATTCTCCCTGGTGTTGCTAATCTGCCTTGATTTCAACAGGAGATGGCACTGATGGGGATAGTTATTGAAAGAATGTAGCATTTTATTTCACATTGCTGGTATCACAGCATTTATTGGGTGTGCTGCACTATTGCTAGTGCCTTGACTGACAGGTTTTTCATATACTAATGAATGCCAAAAAGCCTTGAAAAGCCTTTAACTGCTGGTCCCAAGGATACTACGTTTTCACAAAGCTATGAGAAGTGCACATAGAAAACACAGTATGCACATAATGAGTTTGTGTGGGCACCTCCTGTATAATGTTTCCCAAGTGTGTCGCTTTGTTATTTTTAGGTAAATGTAGTACAGTTGTACATACTAGACGTTAAATCACTGCTTTCTTATTGCTGCAGCAGTGCCTTGGTCTCTATTATGTTTTCACTGGCTGTAAGAAAAATAATATAGCCAATGTAGGTGTGTTTTCTGAAAGAAAAACACCAAATTTTACCCTTTTTGAGGTATTGCACATCAGCCCTCCACTGGTTCAGCTATGCTACAGCGTCAATAACAATTATGTTGGCATTAATTACTTTTTTTATTTGCTGCTAGTAAAAAAAGGTCACCTACCCCCCATGAAAAAAGGCATAAAAATGATGGAGGCCCAGATCCCCAGAGCTATTAAGGCACCTGACTTGTGTAAGAGCCTAACTCCCATTCATTCCAGTGTATCTCAGTATAAACCTTGACTTAGGTCTTACCCTGCTTAACTTCTGAGCATGTGCCTTGGGAGAAAAATTCACAATGACCCTACTAGGCACCTAGAAGCCCTGGACAGTCAATGGAGAGTCTTTGAAGATCCTGATGTGTGATTTAGGTTTAGGTGTCTCAGGGCTGTGTATGAAGAATGACAATTAATCATTCAGAAAGCTCAGCTGCTTTCTGGGCCTCCAAAAGCAAATTCAGAAAGCCTAGAGGCACTGAAAGTCATCCAATAGGAAACACTAAGGACATGTCTGAACTCCCACACTTCTCAAGAGCTTAGGCACCTGACTCAGGCTGTCCATTAGGACCTTACCATTCATTTACTGGAAACAGAATCCATCACCCTCCTGTCCTGTAACCGGCAGGCCACAGAGGCAGGCTCATTCATGCATTTTCTATTAGGAAGTCATTAACTAAAAAACTAAGCCTGTCAACAGATACAGGAACACAGACCTTCCCCCTCCCATGGGACTGCAGCAGCCACTGGACTCCCCCACCCTCACTTGCTTGATCTCCTGGCCCCGTGAGTTGCCCTCATTTCTGTACCATGGCCTGCCTTCAACAGGAAGAATGAAGGTCCCTCACATAGCCTATTTAATAGAGTGGTAGTTAGCGCACTCACTTGAGAAGTGGGAAATGTGAGTAAGGGTGAGCGGTGGGAGAATACTCCAACCCCTACATTATTGGGCAGATAACCAGGACCATCCCAAATGAGCAGCAGTGTCCTGCCAGTGTCTCCCAGGAACATTTGAATCGTAACAGAAATTAGGCAGGAATTAGGTGCAATGGAGAACTTAG